TCTAACTTAGTTTCTTTCTCAGAATTTAAAGAAAAGTCTAGGATCAAAGCTTTATACTTTGTTGAAGATTTATGTGAAACCTGATGAAAGGAACATAGAGAGAGAATCTAGTGTTCCAATTACTAAAGATGGAGTTGATGATCATTGTCGTGGTACAGAGCCTACTGTTACAATCAACAAAGATGCAGGTGGTGATGAACGTGATGATATGGATGTGCATGCAGAAGTTCAGTATGAAAGCGATTTTAGAGATGCACATCTAGATGATGAAACTGAGAACGTCACTGATATTGGTAAAGGTTAGATATAGATTTTGAATTTTTTTCATTAAAATTTATATTCAATAGCGCAATACATATAAACTTTTTTGTAATTACAAATATTTATAGAATCTATTGATGGAGTGGAAGTTGAAGATGTAGTAGAATGTCAAGACCAGGAAAATCCAAAAAAGACAGGAGTAACAGGAAAAATTTGTAAATGTGGATTGCAATCTCAGGAGGATTTAGAAAGTCCATTGGGAACAAGTGTCAGTGAGATTGTATGTAAATGCTTAGAAGGAACATATGACCTGTCTACACCTCTGTCATATAAAGAGAAATTTGGAGTTCAAACTTGTGCCAATCAAGGTTAGATGAAATTTTCATTATATATTGAATGTTAGTTTTAGTGAATTATTAGAATGGGTATTAATTGCAAATGTTACAGAATCTTTTGAAGCTGCAAGGGAAGAAGCTAGAGTGGAGTATCAAGAGAAAAGTGGAGTACAATCTCAAGACGTAGAAAATACCGAAGGAACAAGCAGAAGTGAGATTGTTTCCAAATGCATAGATGGAACATGTGATCTCTCTACACCTCCCTCTCTTACCGACAATATTGGAACCCAAGAAAATGCTAGTGAATATAATGATTTAATTGGGATGATCTTGACTATTGCAAACAGTTAGATAGTGTTTTTTTTAATTTTTTACATGTTTGTTTTAATCAAAGATTAGTAACAAGTACTAATTGTGTTAGCTCTTGTAAATATTTTGTAGAAATTGTGAACTTGCAACTGAAGAACATGGAGAACAATTGCAAGATAAAGAAAATGTGCACTTGGAAGATAAAGAAAATGATGCAAGCAATATGTTAGCTGAATTGTCTGTTGAAAAAATACAAGAAGGCAGTGTGAAGAAGATAGGTATTGATTGTGTCCTAAATATTATACTCATAATTGAAATGTTGTCTCTTTATTTGACGACTTGCAGGAAATTTATATATATATATATATATAGTGTTACTTGCAGAGGAAAACAATGATGAAGCTCTTAACCAATATACGAGGGAAAGAAAGAGAGATAGTATTGGTTATGATGGTCCGTCATTTTCTATTCTTACTCATACTCCTCCAAGTACACAAATGAGCATTGATGGGGGTTTGTCTATAGATGTTGAAGGAAATGTTGAAGAAGAGCTTGATCGAGGTAAAAGGAACAAGAAGCTTAGTTGGCAGTTGAAATCTCCTTTTGATCAGGAAAGAAAAACAGGAACATCAATGGCAGACAATCAAAATACTCCCAAGAGTTCAGGCTGGATAAAATCAACATATACGCGTAGGTGTATTTTTCATTATGCCACAGATGATGCAAAATTATTGGACAAATTCATTGTGTGGTTGGGCAAGGAGAAAAGGAGAGGTCGCAAAAAAGAGTAAGTCCCTTAATGTATTTCAATATTGATATTGAAATTGCTAAAGTTAAGTGTCCTTAACTTCTGTGATTGTAAGCCTAAATTTAGGACCAAGTGTCCTTAACTTTTGAATTTGAAAATCAAAGTTAAGGAGCAAATGTCCTTAACTTTTCAACTTGGAAATCAATGTTTAAGACTAAATGTCCTGATCTTTTGAACTTGTAAGTCAAAGTTCAGGACCATGTGTACTTAACTTTCGAACCTGTAATTCAAGTTAAGGATTGCGTGTCCTTAACTTTTGAACTTGATACTCAAAGTTAAGGACAGACAGTCCTTAACTTTTGAACTTTTAACTCAAAGTTAAGGACAAAGTGTCCTGAACTTTTAAACTTATAAGTCTAAGTTCAGGACCATGTATTCTTAACTTTTGAACTTGAAACTCAAACTTCAGGACCGAGTGTCCTTAGATTTTGAACCTGTAATTCAAATTTAAGGACTGCATGTCTTTAATTTTTCAACTTGAAAGTCTAAGTTCAGGACTAACTTCTAACTTTGATATTTTCAACATTTTCAGGGGACAAACTGATATATATGCTGATGATAATGGTGTGAGAAAGAATCCATACAAATTGTATCATCAAAAATTCAGTAGCAAAATGTTCTTCCATGAGCTTTCAGATAGTAGCTTTGTACTTGATAATAAGGTTAGATAATTCGCAAGACATTTATTTTCTTTATTCTTAATTTATTATTTTTTAATTATTTTATGACTGATGGATTTGTTTTATTTTTTGCCTTTTTATGAAGCATATTGACATTGCCCTATATTATCTGAGAAAGAAGGAGTGCTACCACCCTCGCGACCATCCTTTTCGTTGCATAACTACTGATATTCTTTTTGATAACTATATGGTGCTTGTGTATAAAAAAATTAGTGAAGATGTTACTGATGACTTTTGGTGTGCTGGTGAAAATCAGTTATTTCTGACACCATATGTGTGGGGGGACAGTGGTAGATGTGGAATTGTTTGGACAGAGGTTGACAAAATCATTTTTCCATGTGGGCTTCCTTCAGAAGATAATAATGTTATGACACACTTTCTTTTTGGGGTATTGGACTTGAATTAGAAAAAGATTGATGTATACGATTCCATATATAGTGAGCCATATGAGGCAGGAATGAATCACATGGAAATGTATGCACGCATGATCCCCCACTTGCTAAAGTTCTCTCAGTTTGACAAACATCACAAGTCTTTTGGAAATGCCTTCAACAAATTTGATATTCAGTGGCAAAGAACACCACAACAAACTGGATCGTACGTGTTGTTATTTGTTATATTATTTATATATATTTTAGATTTATTGTTTAATTCACTGTATATCTTACATTTTTCTTAGGACTGATTATGGTGCATTCCTGATCAAATATGTGGAGTTGTTGATGATTGGAAATGATGTGGAGAAATTCCAACCTGAAGACATAAAAGACTTTAGAAAAGAACTTGCCGCAAATCTTTGGACACATGGTGAGTGAAAAATAAATTCTGGTTATGATACACCACCAGAAAATGTTGGCGATGATTATGAGAGTGAAAATGAAACTTGCTGTCCAAAGGAGTTATAGTTTAGTTGTAAAGAAAGTTAGTTGTGGTTGATCTTTTGTATAAAATTGCTATAAAGAATCCATATGAATTCTGCATGTTCAGAAAACTTCTGAAATATTCTATAAATTCCTCAAAAGGCACTTATATTTTGTTTGCGTAGCATAATTTTTTGTCACAACTACACAAAATTACAATTTCAGAAGTAATATCAAGGCATTATGTTATTAAATTCTTTGTTTCTCTCAAGTGTTGATTTGTCCATTGAGTTTGTTAGTATTAGTTCATGACTAAGTGTAATTGAACTTCAAATTCAAAGTTAAGGACCAAGTGTCCTTAACTTTTGAACCTGCATGTCAAACTTAAGGACTGCCTGTCCTTAACTTTTGAACCTGCATGTCAAACTTAAGGACTGCCTGTCCTTAACTTTTGAACCTGCATGTCAAACTTAAGGACTGCCTGTCCTTAACTTTTGAACCTGCATGTCAAACTTAAGGACTGCCTGTCCTTAACTTTTGAACCTGCATGTCAAACTTAAGGACTGCCTGTCCTTAACTTTTGAACCTGCATGTCAAACTTAAGGACTGCCTGTCCTTAACTTTTGAACCTGCATGTCAAACTTAAGGACTCCTGTCCTTAACTTTTGTAAAGTTAAGGATAAACAGTCCTTAACCTTTGAACTTTGAACTCAAAGTTAAGGACGGTCTGTCCTTAACTTTTGAACGTGTAATTCAAACTTAAGGACTGTCTGCATGTCAAACTTAAGGACTGCCTGTCCTTTTAAGGACTCCTGTCCTTAACTTTTGTAAAGTTAAGGATAAACAGTCCTTAACCTTTGAACTTTGAACTCAAAGTTAAGGACAGACAATCCTTAAGTTTTGAACTTTGAACTATAAGTTAAGGACTACTTGTCCTTAACTTTTGAACTTTGAACACAAAGTTAAGGACTGCATGTCCTTAACTTTTGAACATGTAATTCAAACTTAAGGATAGTCTGTCCTTAACTTTTGAACTTGTATGTCAAACTTAAGGACCCCTGTCCTTAACTTTTGTAAAGTTAAGGACAGATAGTCCTTAACCTTTGAACTTTGAACTCAAAGTTAAGGATTGCATGTCCTTAACTTTTGAACGTGTAATTCAAACTTAAGGATTGTGAACTTGAAACTCAAAGTTAAGGACATACAGTCCTTAAGTTTTGAACTTTGAACTCAAAGTTAAGGACATACAGTCCTTAAGTTTTGAACTTTGAACTATAAGTTAAGGACTGCTTGTCTTTAACTTTTGAACTTGTAACTCAAAGTTAAGGACTGACTATCCTTAACTTTTGAACTTGAAACTCAAAGTTAAGGACTCATGTCCTTAACTTTTAATCTTTGAACTCAAAAGAAACAAAAAGAAGGTAAGCAGAAAGAAATTTGAAAATTCAGACATCTGCTCAAATAAGAATAATCTAAATGAATCCAATTTATAGCAAAAACTTAAAAGAGTCGATAAACATAAGTGGATATATCTACTATTCTCTATGCTTTCTTGAAAATGGATGGACTGCCGGAGAATATATATACAAACTGTTCTATTATGATCAATTCTTCTGCAACGACCACATTTGAATGTTATTTTTGATGAATCGGTAGTTGGAATATGCCTTTTCTTCTGCCTTCTACCTGGTGGCACTTTGAAATCTAGAGGTTTAAAAATTTGTGACTTAACACTCTCTGGTACAATCTAAGAATCAGTATGTCCTACAGGATGTATTTGTCTTTCATATGTTTTCAGCAAAGATTCCTTTAAGTACCAGTGCGAACAAAAGTTGGACTTCTTGATGTTTCTCTTCTCGATAGCTGCAATTGCATGTATGCATGGTAATTCATCAGATTGAAACTGAAAACAATCACATGTTCTTTTGTTTAAGTCCACCAAGAAAGTTATTCCTTCTTCTTCAACTCTAGAACGCCATGAACCAACAGGGAAGACCTTCAATGTTGAAAAATTATAAGTTAGTACATTATGTTAAATTATGTTAAAATCATAAGCTAAACATAGAACATAATACTTGCATTCAAAGTAAATGCTAAATCTATTTTTTTCTTCAATTCCTCCTCTACCCAACAAGAAACATCATAAAAAGTTCCTTCTGCTTCATTTCTTCAATCATAAAACCAACGTTGTAGCTTCACTTGAATGAAATCAATCATTCTTAATATAGGCGGCTACCTTGCTTCTAATAGGATAGAATTCATTGACTCAACTATGTTTGTTATGAGCATGTCATATCTTCGTCGTGGACTACAAGAACGTGCCTACCTTTCCGGTGGTTCTTCCATCAAGTATTCATAAGTCTTCTTATCTACTTTTGCTATATCTAACATGTATAGATCAAATTCTTTGCGCCTGTATACTCTTGCAGCACTTTGAAAAAGTTTTATGACCTCACTTTTCACCTTCCTTCGCTTTAGGTTCTGCTCCAAATGATAGATACAAATCCCATGATGGCTTTCAGGATATACCTTTGCAATGCCATATGCAATAGCTTGATGCTTGTCTGATAAAAATATTAAATTCTCACGGCTCCCAATTGCATTGCGAAGCTTACTAAAGTACCACTCATAGGAACTGTTATTTTCAGATTCTACTCTTCCAAAGGCTAGTGGGAAAATTTGGTTATTTGCATCCTCTGAAACTAAAATTATTAAAACACCACGAAATTTTGACTTCAAAAAAGTTGCATCAACAACAATCACTGGTCTACAATGATTCCAACTAGATATTGATGATCCATATGCATAAAACATATAAAGAAACCTGAAAATACAATATAAAACAAGGTTAATAGAAGTTAAGGACAGGTAGTCCTGAACTTCAGATTACAAGGTTAAAAGTCAAGGACAGTCAGTCCTTAACTTAGAGTTTCAAGTTATAAAGTTAAGGACATGCAGTCCTTAACTTTGAGTTCAAAGTTCAAAACTTAAGGACAAACAGTCCTTAAGTTTGAATTATAAGTTTAAAAGTTAAGGACAACCATTCCTAAACTTCTGATTACAACTCAAAATTTAACTGGTTAAAGACAGCATGTCCCAAATTTTATAAAACGTACTAATAAACTTTTTTTTGATTATTCACCTGTTGTTGTCGTCTATCTTTATGTTAGTATAAGTTCCCGGGTTTTTACTTGTCATCATATACAAGTATGAAGATAATAATTCATAATTCTCTTCGAGAGTTCCTCTTATTAAGGCGGAAGCAAGTTGAATAGCACGTCACGCCTTGTGATACCCAATATCTAATCCATGCAGTTTTTGCATCTCTGCCATGACAAAAGCTTGTGTAACTTCAAATCTTGGGTCTCGAAGATTGTCGATAATGTAACCGCTAATCAACTTTGAAGTTGCATGCCTTTGATCAGCTTTCATAGTGTCAACAGAGTAGTCATGCTTTTTCTCAATCTTTACTATCTTAAAAAGTGTTGAATCTTTAATTCTGAAAGCACGCACACACCAACCCACACCTATCATCATTGTATTTCAACGAATATCTTGTTGAGCTTGATCTAACAACCTTGAATTCAAAATGTCCTTTAATTGCTACATTTGAAAAACAGTTAATTAAACTCTTCTTTTTGTCAAATACTGATCCCACTTTTATTTCATCCAACGAAGCATTTTCTCTTAATATCGTAGTTGGGGATTCTTTTTGTTTCAAATTTGATCTTCATCTAGTTAGTTGAGTAGAGGTTTTTTCAGCAACCTCTTCGATTACCGGCGCACTCTCTAAGACTTGAATACCCAAAGCTTGTTCGTTGTCAGTCTCTATAATGCTTTGTCCTTCTACTTGAATAGAATCAAATGTTTGAAGAACCTCTTCAGTTATTGGTTGAGCTTCAACCATATCTATTTCCATTATTTGTTGGCATTTGTTTTGATTGTAATGTTGAGTTTCTCTGTTGACATGTGTTTGAAGCACCTCTTCAGTTATTGCTTGAGCTTCAACCATATCTATTTCCATTATTTGTTGGCATTTGTTTAGATTGTCATGTTGAGTTTCTGTGTTGACATGTTCGTTGCTTGTTGATCCAAAAACTCTTTCTGAAATATCAACAATGAAACGACAACCCTTGAAGAGTGAATGAGTTTTTAGTAACTCTATACATGTGTGAAGATCTAAATCTTTGGATACAAGCATTCCCTTGCTTATTCCAAGGTTGATATCAACCCATATCACTGCTTCAAACTTGTGTCTATCCAATTCAATAACTTCAAAGATCTGTTTAATGAAATCTTCAAACCGAATTGCCCCAGGTACAAGAACAAGCTTTGTTTGATGATCAAGATATTTATTGTCACGACCCAATTCCCGAACCTGGTCATTATGGCACCTCTCATGAAGACAAGGCTAGCCATTCAACTCAATTCATCCTTTTAAGACAATTAATTAACACAATTATAGTATAAATATGGTTTAATAATATCCAATAGCGGAAAGTATAGATAAAATACGGAAATCCAACCCAACTCAGCCCTAACTGGGGTGTCACAAGTCATGAGCTACTACAGAGTTTACTAAAATTCTACAAAGTATGGAATTAGGAACAAAGTCTGAAGATATCAAAAATAACAGAATATAAGGGAGAAAACGGGTCTGCGAACGCCATGCAGCTACCTCGATAACTCCGATGAAAACTGAACAGCAGAAAACTCGCTCTATGCCTCAGGAATACCTGTACCTGCACACATGGTGCAGGGAGTAATGTGAGTACTCTGACCCAGTGAGTAATAAATATAAATAATGGCTGAAGGTAAGAAAACACGTTAAGGCACACAACATTCTATACAGAAGCAGTGAAATCATTTAAAATAACAATT